TTAGTTTCACAAATAAAGAAGGTAGCTATCCTACGGCATCTACTCCCAACTCTGAAATTTATCTGGCCGACTAGTGGAGTTGACCGTCACCTTTATAGCGTACTCAAAGTGTGTAGCGTAATTGTGCGTCAACAGAATGTGCACTGTGAACCCTCGGAATCACAGTTCGAGCATGCTAACTCTCAATTATAGTGAATAAAACCTCATTATGTATCAAATTAAGATAAGACGGAATTGTACTTTGTAAAACTTGTTTATTTTTTATGTTAAATAAATACTGTTTATAAACCTACAGGATTAAAAATGGCATGCTTATTACATGTGGCAATTTACCAGATGTGATAACGATAATTTAAATGGCAATAACAAAGAAATAACCTAAATGTTAAAGTTTAAATTTACGGTAAAACAAATAAATAATAAAACTAGAAAACATATATATATATATAATGGAGTAACAGTATACCCATTAGAGAAAAACGTATAAATGGTGATAATAGAGAACACATTTATAGACACACTTTAGAGCGTGTGTGTGTGTGTTTTCGTAATGTTTTAAATTTCGAGGATGGATATGCCATATGAGCATAATGTATAGTTTGTACATATTCTACTTTTGTTTATAGCATGAACAACAAGGAGTGTAAAAAATACACAGTTTATGTTTGAGTTTCTAAGGTTGCGTGTGTTTTGTGTTTGGGTGAATTACAAACCAGTGTAATTTTGTGTAAATGTACTTCGCATGTATACATGGTTGAATGTGCACTTCAAACACTAAATTCTAATGCAAGCTTTATGTAACATAAAAACACATGGTACTTAAATAGATTCGAAATAGTTATACTTGCAGGAATAATATAGCTTAAAGTACAACTTAGAATAAAAACCAAGAATCTTAGATCGGTCTTAAGTTAACATCTAAAGTACATTTTGACGTAAGAAAGTGAAATGTAGCGATGAATGTTCTTCTTGCGATTATGTAAGAAGGAATATGTAAATTTAAATGCATTAGCAACTGAATTTATCTATGCACACCCACTTGTATTCTTTAATGGCGAAAAGTTGTTTTGGAGACTACATCTAGATTCTCAAGTAGGCTTAGTCCTCCAGTTATTTTTCAGCTCATATTGGTAAAATGGAATACCAAACACTGTATGTTAGTAAAGTGGAATACCAAACACACTGTATGTTGGTAAAATGGAATACCAAACACACTGTATGCTAGTAAAATGGAATACCAAACACACTGTATGTTGGTAAAATGGAATATCAAACACACTGTATATTAGTAAAATGGAATATCAAACACACTGTGTTAGTAAAATGTAATACCAAACACACTGTATGTTGATAAAATGGAATATAAAACGCACTTATTCATTTTGAATAATATATCTCGTACCACGACCATTTGTGAATTATATCTCATCAGTCCAGGTAACTAGATAATAGAGAATGTTATACAAATTATCTTTACATGCATTTATATATTGGAGGCACTTTGGGGACTAAATACTTCAGTTACATTCATACACAATTCTGCCCTTCCACATTATAATTTTTTGGCCAGTTATGTTATGAATTTTTTAACTCAGAGTGAATAAACATGTTTATGAATATTGATTTCTTATATACCAGAGTGCATAGTTTCATCACATCTTTTATTATGATATTTAGCTTCAAACCACGATAGAGGAAAAATATGTCATTATAACAAGTATAAAGAAGAAGCACTACGACACCTTGTTAAATGTCAGTTTTCTTAACGCGCAATATCACTTACACTTACTTTCATGTTTTCTTTCAGCTCTTACCAAAAATAAGACTTTTTTTTTAATTTTATTTTATAAACTCAGAATATTTTAGTAACGAGGTACTTGATTTCCAATATTACGTTTAGTTCGGTAAAAATGACTTTCCCTGCAAGAAATGGTTCTGCTAAGATTTTTCATATTATACTTAAGCCTACAATTATTTGAAAGATTTAAAACATTTGACTGAAATAATGTTGGTATGTTTACATATGTATAAATATCTGTAGACAGAAATGGCTGCATGTTCACCTAACTGAGCACCTGGTAAACTACGTAATCCTACAGATAAAGATTTTCTCACGCTCTTCAGTTTTTGTCCCTCGAAAATCTCACCTTACCGTGTGTTTGGAATCTTCATTTAACCAATCTTCCCTCTTTCTATTACAGCATTGCGTGTAGTGGTTGACAAATAACATGTTTCCACGAAAGTGTATCCACTGTAATCTCGATCTCTTGCTAGGCAAATATACCGTCGAAATCTCATTAAAGATAAAAAAAAGAGAGAGAGCAGTATTTTTTTACAATGATAGGCTTACACAAAATGTTAGAAAGGTTGTAACACTAAAAAAAACAAAAAACTTTTGAATTATAACTAATCGTAGTGTAATCTTCTCGAGCATATTACTGAAAATTGTGTCAAGAGATCCACATGAACATGAAATCTTATGAAAAGTTAGTCACCTATCACGATGAAACTCTTTTCGTTACTACCAGTGAATTAGTTTAGCTCAATATTATATACAGTACTTTCTATGAATATTAAGATACAAAATTTACCTCATAATACCACAAAAAATGTCCCCCTAGTGGCTGAGCGATAAGTCTGTAGGCTTAAGAAGTTGAAGTTCAGGCTTCGGTATCCGTAGTGGGCAGAGCACAGGTATCCCATTGGGTAGATTTATGCTTAACACCAACAAAAACACAAAAATGACACCAATACACTTTATTTTGAATCGTTAGTTCAACATTTTACACCATCCAACTTCTCACTTGATTTTACCAATTTTAAGAACATTTGACTTTAGTTAATATTTGTTACATTAAACTAATTTCTATAAATCATCTCCTCATATAATACGAAATGATTTTAGTTGATATTTGTTACATTAAACTAATCTCTATAAATCATCTCCTCATATAATACGAAATGACTTTAGTTGATATTTGTAACATTAAACTAATTTCTATAAATCATCTCCTCATATAATACGAAATGACTTTAGTTAATATTTGTTACATTAAACTAATCTCTATAGATCATCTCCTCATATATCACGAAATGAGTTTAGTTAATATTTGTTACATTAAACTAATCTCTATAGATCATCTCCTCATATATCACGAAATGATAATTCATAAAATGGGAGACAATTTGCCTCTTGTGATCCGCAAGTCTTTTAGTTTTGGAGAACTGGTACTTAGGCTTATGACATTTGCTATGAACATAACAAAACTTTTCATTAAATATTTGAAACTAATATTCAGGTATTTTGGGTATTTGTATATATATACTTTATTACTTTAATATGAAATCATTCTACATGATAATCATAGTTTTAATTATTATTATTTTTATATCTGCATGTGAAAACGTTGTTTATCGTCAACCAATATCAGGGCTTCTCAGGACGACTAGGATACGACAGACATGATAGTGGTCTAGGCTATATATATCACCAATTTTTACGAACGACAACTGTCATGGTACGAATCACATTAAGCACGTGAATTGTAATTATTATCAATTTCATTTCAAGTCTTTCATAAATATTTCTAGTTAAGAATTAATAACACGACATTATATATTTTATTTTAACACTTCATTTGTCTATTTAGGACGGCATAAATCTTTTCCAGATTTCCAGTATAAAATAATATATAGTTCACGATAAACATTATTCAAAGTAAAGAAAAAACTTGAGTTTAAGAACAGGTTTCAGATAAAGGGAATAAAAGTTATAGTGATGCATACTTGATAAGCTTTTATGGCACGAATACACCCGAATCGAGGTATTGTCACACAAAAAAATCGATGCTACAGCTATGGGAAGTATCAAGTGCCAGAGATTTTGGAGAGAAATTTTGTGCATAAAAAATATGTTAAACAGTGATATATACATAAATATACATAAATTCTATTTCTGTGTCATCCTATGTGTTCTATTATAAAATATAGCGTAGCTTGCTCCTTTGGTTGCTGTTTCACGGAGAAACAAAATCCAACACGCAAACTACTAAAGTGGAAAGGCTATAGAACTTGTACGTCTTCGATGATAAATAAACAATAATACTTGTATAGAGTTCGCGTAGAAACATGTATAGAATGTAATAAAAAGAGCTAATGTTATCAGTCCACCAACAACATCAACACACATAGAATACAGGAAACATACATATATATATATATAATTAAAATACATTTGACCTCCTTAAACATGTTTAAGCAACGAATGTTCTATTTCAGAAAACGCAAACTCTACCAGAACGAGAATAACTCATTCAATTATGCCAACAGAGAGCGCTGTGTTTAATAGTAAATAACCCATAAAAACTAGTTAAAATTTAATAATGTTTAGTAAGTACATCTAAGTGACTTATTATAATTTATACAGTTTACAGCCTTTATTAGCAACTGTATTCCTTTACTTTTTGTGCGTATGTAATGTAATGTATGCTTACAAAACCAAGATATTAGCTCAACACCTACTATGTAAGAAAACTATACAAATTCCATTAATATTGTTTTAATTTAAATTAATACAAAGTAACAATGAAACACTATTATATTTTAACAATTTTCCCATTGTTATTCATAATATAATTCGATAATAAGATTTTAGTCAGGTGCACTCATATACTATTTATATTACTGTAAGTGTGTGTGTGTGTGTTTGATTGCAACGACACGCAAAAGACTATCTGCATTGGGTCGAATCCTGTCGAAGGCTTCACGTTTTTGGAGCAACGGGAAGAGATGTAAAAAGTGTCAATCAAATTTAATAATGAACCTTTTTTTTTTCATCTCGAAAGAGCTCAAATGCTCAATGAAGTGTGACATACAAGCTTTATTGCTCTAAATGTTTCAAATTAATGAAACCATATATTCATATTTACCATAAGCACGTTGAATTATTTTGTGTAATAAAGACAATTTATTGCAGCATATATCTTATGATTTTCTTTCAGGTATATTGTGCTCTAGGAGATGACTGCTTGAGTGATAAGAAAACCTGGGCGACTGCAAACAGCATGAACACTGGTGACGTCATCCAAATGTATTTGCAGGAAGGTGATTGGTTGAAGTACGTATACTTTACCTCTATTTATTTTCTTATACTTTCTTTTTAATTAAAAAAATATTATTGAAACACGAAAACACTTTTACAATACACAATATGATTCACAGGATGAACTCGAGTTTGGATCGTGTTTGCTTTATAAAGTTAAGCTAACTATAATAAATGTCATTTATAATAAATAAATACGTTAATAATAATAATAATACATAAATAGATATCGAGTATACACGATTTTAAGTACAAGTTAATAATATTTACTACATTATAATTTATATTTTAAATATGCATAGCGTTATATTTTAAATTGATGTATATGCTATAAATATATTTTCAAGTGCAGCCGTATTAGTTATCAGTTTATTGAATACCGAACTAATATATATATATATATTACCATTGAGCAGTAATCTTATTTTAGGTCGACTATAATTTTAAGTTATTAGTGCTTGATACAAATATTTTTTTTTCTAAACATTTTCTTTTTAACTTAAAGAATTTGTAACTTTCCAAGCTTTTCTGCCCCTTTTCATATATTGATATTTTTTTCCCAATTCCATACAGTTTTGCTAAGTCTGTTTAATGCTACAAATATATAATTTACTTAAGGATAATATGTTTAAATTTTTAAAATTCAATTTTGGATTATCAAAATGTGTTAATAATAAACATTTCATAATATTTTTGCAACTATATTATAATTATTAAATTCGTTAAACAAGTACCTTCCTAGCAAGGCATACTATACTGTAGGAT